AAAAAAAAAAAAAAAAAAAAAAAAAAAAAAAAAAAAACCAGGAATGCGGAATGGAAAAACTTTGCCGCAGAATTGTTTCCGGGACCTCACAACGCGCAGAAGAGGTCCTGGCAAGTTACAATTTTTTCCGCGGAACTGTTTCCTGGGACCCCACAGCCCGCGTTTTTTGGCCTGGAAGAGGACTGAAATTCATTCTCACATAGTTTGGGAGCTGGAAAAGTCCCGCCGGAGGGATTCCCACCGCGATTTTGTGCCGAGTGTAGAGTGTGGAGGGGGGCGGCATCTCAAAAGTTTTCAAGGTCTTCTCCCCCAGTTGGGCGAGAAGGTGGTCCGGCCATGAGCATTGTGCTGGTTCGGGAACATAGCGGTGTCGTCTACCTACTGTCGTACGGTGTCAGAGGACCACTCGGACAAACCACCACTTTCCTTTCCGGGATGGTGGGCAGGGATGTTTCCTATTATGGGAAGTTTTGACGTCATTTTGCCGCAAAACTCACTCCGCGTGGGGTCCCCACGGAACTCTTTCCAGACTTTCCAAAATTCTTCCACCGTATTTTTTGGGCAGGCGTCTTTTCCATTGGAATTCCTGTGGGGGCCAGGCCTTAGAGGAATGTATCCACCCAATTTCAAGGCCAAAGCTGTGTTTCCTTTCTTTTTTTTTTCGTCTTCTTTCTTAATTCTGACAACCTGGCCATGGGGCTGAGGCCTGGACCCCACAGGAAAAGTGACAAGTTTCGGGTTTCCATGGAAGAGCGTTTGGAAGAGTTTGCCTGCGGAATGACGGGACCCATCGGAGTGGCTGGAAAAGCCAGTTTCCATGAGCTTGGAAAGGCTGGAAACTGGAGATGGACTGGATGGTGGTCGCTGATGTCCGTTTGAAAGGCCTTGCGCCTGTTTCCCCCCCTACTGGGTGACAACACCATGTCCGTAGCCCTGTCCAGTGGGCCAGGGAACGGCTTCAGGCGGACAATGGATGGGCCGGTGGGTTGGTGAGGAGTTTCCAACCGTGGACATGCCTTCCCCCCCCCCCCTACTCTCTGGAAAGGGCACAAAAATACGGCGGAAACTCCTCCACAGCCACTTTTCCGACCGGAAACCGATGTGAAAACGAAAAATGTGGTCCAGGCTGTGGGGTCCCGGAGAACCTCCATGCGGTCCTGAAATCGGCTTTCAACAGGGCCTGCTTTGTCCGATGGAGTCCAAGGTAAGCTTTTCCACGCCGCTTTTTCCATGGTTTTCCCTGTGGGGTCCAGGCGTGATACACCCTCACTGAGGACACTAGCACTTCCAATAATGTATAGAACGTGCATAGCATCGTGTTCTCTTCGATGACCGAACGCAAACGACTCTCAAAACCCTCCAAACGTGAACATATAAATATTTCAAAAAAAAACTCAGAAAAATCTGAAAAAACTTATGTTATGTAAAATAATAAGACAAACAACTTTTGGTTTCAATCATCGTTCAGGGCCAGGACCTCTACCCCTTGGGTGGTAAGAGCCCCAGAGGGTAGAAGCCGGCGAGGTTCCGATGGCTCCTTTCTATTGGTGGGGAGCTGCACCTGCTGGAAACCGGGTCCAGCGTCCCTTCCTTAGCATCTAGTCCCACTACCCACTGTACCCAGACTTATAACAACCAATTCTGAGGATCAATAAGTTCGGCAATTAGCTCAACACCTGAAGACAAGCCCCTACATAATGAACTACATAACCTGAGTAATCTTGTCCTTCTAGGAACTGCCTTTGGTTCTATCAATAACACTTCATGGAGGTCTAGGACCCCTCAGCGAAGGTTCAACGATCTGTCTGCTCACTAATGTTCAATGACACAATGATCATTCAATGATCCCTCTCTCTCTCTCTCTCTCTCTCTCTCTCTCTCTCTCTCTCTCTCTCTCTCTCTCTCTCTCTCTCTCTCTCTCTCTCTTTCCACACACACACACACACACACAACCTTCTCTCTCTGCACCAAGGAATTCTCCAATCCCATCTCCTTCCCTGCCTGTTACAAGCTTTTTTAACACTGTTGTCTTCGTCCTTGTTCAGCTCACTGCCTTTCATGTCTTTGGAATCTTTGGAATACACTCCCATGTCTTCCCTTCTCTTCTTATCCCAATAGACTGTACCGCCCAGACCTGCGTTTGCATCTTCTGTTTCTTCATCCCCAGTCCTGTGATTCCAACGACTCATATGACCATTATCCTCAACATCATCCTCGGCATCATCATCATGATCACCATCACCGTTTTGAGGTCCATTATCGTCATTATCATCATCGTCATCATCATCATGATCATGATCACCATCACCATTTTGAGGTGATTTCAAGGATTCCAACGATTTGTTATCACCGTCATTATAGCCTTCCCCAGTTTTATCACCATTATTGTCATCATCATCATTATCATCATCACTAGTATCATCATTATCCTCATTAACTCCCCCCAAACTGTGAATAGCACCCCATTTATTCCTCAGATCAATGTCATTCGCTCTCAATACCTCTCCCTCACTGTTTTGAGGGAGATGGCACTGCCCTATCACACAGGACCATCTCAGTTCCCACCCACAGTTCAAGCACAGCACATTCAACTCGATCGGAATCTCGGTTTCTTCAAAATATCCTCAATCTGCCAGAGCTCCTGGCTTTCCAAAGAATCTTTCCTGACAATTGCTCCTCGCTGTCGCTGCCTCTCACGTTCGTTCTTGCAGCTGCCGCTTTCTGAGATTGAAGTTTCTCCCCCCACCACTCCTGATCACCTGCCCTTTGTGCCGTATATGTCGTACGTGGGGTCTTCAGCTCTGTCCCGTCTGAGATTCGAGCTGCTTTTGCCTTGTAGTGTATGCCCCACTGCGTCTTGTTCAGTGCTGATAACCGAGTCGCTTGGCATGTCCAGAGTAAGATACAGCTTCTGCTAGCAGACTGCCACTGAAAATCGAAGCTGCAACAGCCTGTTCGTTTTTTGAAGTGCATTCCAGAGGCCAGCCGCTCACGACCCACCCTACTCCCCTCCTGCCGCATCCAAAGGTACGTTATCCCATTACAGCGGCGAGATACCAGTTGCCCTACTACCACTGTGCCGCCCTCCTACTACCATACCCGCCCTCCTACCAACATGCCGCTCTCCTACTAACATGCCCGCCACTCTGAAGATACAGGCCTAGACCTATATCAAGTAAGACGGCCGATATTACTGTGTTCACGTTTCCGTATCTCTCAGATGTATATCTCAAGCTGCCACCGCTCACATCATCACATGCCATAGATTCTCCTTACTTCAGTACCGACAACAGAGCTGAATCTGCATGCTATACTGACCAAGTTCAACCTGTTATGACTATGAACGACAACGCTCCAAAAAGCTCTTCGCCTGACTGTTGGCTACCATTCACTGCTTTGCATAAGGATAGCTTCACTTGGCCAGGTTTCAAGGCTGTGTTGAACAGCCAAAAAAACAAAGTATCCCGAAAGGGTCGTATTCAACCGCTTCCTATTCAGACTTGCTCCATGGGAAGGACGCTACATGGCGTTCTTCAGCTCAAGAGTGTTCAGTACCGAATGTTCCCAACCTGATTCACTCAGTTCCATTCACACTACCTCAGTGTTCCAACGACCCGATACTTCCCCCTTCGGTCCTAACCCTCGGGACAGGCTCCTCTCCACCATGCTCGACTTGCCATAGCCGACAGCTGAAGAAGCCTCCTCCCCCGTGCTTCGCGCTCCGGGGTATGGAGGTTAAGCCCCACGCACTACAAAGACAAAACCCTAACTCGTGTAGCTCGCGCGTCGCGGAAGCAGAGCGCTACGACGCCGGCAGTCTGCCCAGTCCCTTTTTTCTAAGACAAACAACTTTTGCCTGGGAGGGATGTTCAGATTCTGAGCCAAACGCGAGTTAAAAATAAAAAACTAGAGAAAAAGAATAGAAAAAAAATCATTATAAAAAAAATGTTCAACTGAACACGTTCGGGAGGCGTTCGGCTGCACACCCGAACGTGTTCAGGCGTTTGCAAAAAGCCCTGAACACGCTCAGTGTGCTCCACAGTATAGAACCGCATTTCAGGGCCAAAGCTTTCTTTTGTGAAGTTCACGGCCGCGAGGACTTAAGTTTTCTTTTTGTTGTTGTTCTTTCCGTGAGAGTACCAGACAACAAAATAGAACTGAACCCAGGCTCGACAAATCTCGAAGCGCAGTAAAATTCAGGCTTGGCAAAAACAGGCTCGGAGGTAAAAATAAAACTTTAGACACCATACTGTCCAACAATCCAGCAAAACTCTATTACTGGGCCCTGGTCCCACCAGCAGGGGTTTAGTTTGGAAATGTACAGTGTGACACGAGTGACACACTATTGCCATTGGATCTAACAGATCCAACGGCCAGACCATTGGGGGTTAGAAGAATTTATTCAAGACGTTAAAGAAAGTTAACAAAAAGTCAACCCCCCCCAGTCTTTGTTTCTAGCCTACGAAGCAGTAGCCTTGTTTTCTTCCTTTTGTTGCTCTTGTCTGTGAAGGAAGCTGTGGTCGGTCTGTCAGTTGTCACATTCAACTGTCACGGCTCTCTTTACTTTTTCTTTTTTTTGTAATAAAATATTTTGCAACCCGTGATCCGCCAGCAAACAGACACGAGGAACGGACCCCTCAAAAATTGGCCAGGCACAGCCCGACTCTAATGCAGGCGCGCGCTGGCCCAGGTAAGTCGTAGTCACCCTTGCGGATGGCCTCCAGACCTCACCCTTTACCCTCTCTTTACTTTTTCTCTCTCCACGCAAAATTGATATAGCAGACCTTGTCGTGCAGCCCACTAACAAGAGCTGTTCTTTTCCCTTTTGCTGTCCTGGCTGTCGGAGGACTCCTAAACCAAACTAAACCCCCCGCTAGTGGGAATAGGCTCCTGTATCATTGTTATAAGGGTTATGCTTCACAGCATTACTTTTCAAAATACTGAAAAACAAGAATACGGGTCCAATTCTCTGGCACAAGTTCAGGACTTTCACAGGTTACCGCGCAAGCGCAGGCTGCGAACGGGGGTGCATGTCCAATCCGAGAATCGAACAGATCCAGTGCAGCCCACTGTACCATGATGGGTTGATTCCTAGTTTAGGAGGTCTGCCTTCTCCCCCAATTTTGCCAAGAATTTTCTTTCAAGGGAGGGGACGCACCTCATTCGTCCGCCCAGCACGTCCCGGGGAGGGAGACACACCTCATTCGTCCACCCAGCACATCTAGGAGCATTGTTCTGGAAGACTAGTGAAAAAGAGAGGTGGCAGGTGGAGTCCATGAGACTATTTCGATATTTTCGGATTTCTTAGATTGGCAGACCGAAAATCCCCGCTTTGGGACTGTGGGGGAGCATAAGGCTAAATGGACCTTATTTACCTAACCCCTACTGAAAATCCCATGGGTGCAAAACTGCCTTCTTCATAATAACCCCCCTCCCCTCCTTCCTTCCAAAAGCGGAGGTGGTATATGCCCATAGCGAAGACCGGAATGCAACCAACGCATGAAAAGCTCTCTTTTCTTCTTTGTACCACCAGTTCACACAAGCCTAAGGCGGTCATATGTTTAGAAGCCTTGCTTTTTCGAGGCTTGAAAGACTGTGACTTCGCCTTTTCAAAGTGGCCTGCTGCTTTTGCTATCAGCCTTTTCAAAGTGGCCTGCTGCTTTTGCTATCAGCCTTTTCAAAGTGGCCTGCTGCTTTTGCTATCAGCCTTGCTACCAGTGCTCGTACCATGATATACCAGTAAGTGCACTACTTAGGTTCGTGTGAACTGGTCGTTGGATCCATGAGTACTTTTTACCCTCAAACCACGAGTATCTTTTACCCTTCCTTTTCCGAGGCCAAAAATGCCCCGTGCGCCAAAAACATGTACACGGCGGCACCAGCCAAAAGAAGGCCTGCACAGGGTCGTTTTTTTTTCCGGGTGTGCAGGGTGTTGTAGGCTGGGCAAGGGAAGGGTCAAAACCACTTGTGGCTTAAGAGAAAAACAAAAACGGACAGCCCCTGACATTATGGCATTCGTCTCATTCCATCAGGATTTCAACTTATGATTTCTTTACTATCAGTTACATGTGCGTATCATCCAGCCACATGGGCTGGGTAAGCCCTCTTCTTTTTTGTTGTTGTTGCACCGCTAGTACACGGCCCCAGCCTTGCAGAAAGTTTTTGCCGCCACAAACAAAACTCGGCCGCGCCATGCGGCCCAGGGCGCCGTTGGGAAAAAAAACTTTGTGGCCTCGGGAGTGGTGCAGGTTTCAAGCTCACACCCGCGGGCCTATGTGTGGCGTACTGGTGCTTCAAACCATCAGTACATGGGGGCTTGGTGGCACTGCACTGCACGCCTGCCAGTGGCACACTTCTTTCCTTTTTTGGCTGGTGTTGTCCGGTAGCCCCAAGCCACAAAGTTTTTGGAGTACGCAATGAACGAATTTCTACAAGGCTGGGGCCGTATACTGGCAGTTTGAGCCCTCATTTCTTAGTCAAGCCCACAATGTGATGATGAATTGATGGCGAAGCCGAGGCACAGTCCAGCTCTTCTACATAACTATGTCTTGGTGGGGACCACTCAGCCCCTGCCAGTGGGGTGGTGGAGGCCACTCAGCCCCTGCCATTGTGGCTATGGTGAGTCATTAGCCCCTGTCAGTGTGGTGCTGGGGACCGATCAGCCCCTGCCAGTGTGATGGTGGGGACCACTCGTCACCTCAGTCCCTGCAGCCAGTGCTTTCTGGGTCCTATATCCGTTTTTACCAAATTGCCACCACAGATATTGCTTTGCGCCTTCAAAATCGCGCCTTTCGAAGACTCTTAGGAAGAAAAGCTATATGACCTGCAATTGCTACAGCGCAGCCTCTATTTAACTGAATTCAAAACAAAACAAAAAAACTATGCACAAGATTCCTTCAACAAGTGAACTAAGGACCATAACGATGATCTATTGTCTTTCAGGATTCCGAGTATTCTCTGATTGTAGAATCTTAATGCCATTCACTCATACTGCGCATCTATGTTTATGGAATGACTGAGGCCCATACAAGACGAAATGCATTTTGATTTGAGCTATCAGAAGATTCATTTTCAAACACTCTATTTGGGGTTAAAAGAAAAAGAAAAAGTAAAAACATCACATTTGAGATCCTTGTCGGATGTCTTCAGGAATTATGATGATGCAGGAGGAACCAAAAAAGCACAAACAAGAACAAGAAAAGGGAAAAGAAGCAGGAGGAGGATGGGGAGGAGGAGAGGTGCTAAGGAGGACGAAGAGGAGATTCGATGATCTCATCAATCTAGAAACAAGACTGTGCAGGGAAATAAACACAGGTACGCTCGGCATATGAACGACAACAACGATGAGGAAGAAGAAGATGAAGATGGAGAAGGAGGAGACGAAGAAGAAGAAGAAGTGGACAACCACAACAGCGGACAAGAGAAGGACAACGACAATGACAACGTAGAAGAAGAAGAAGAAGAAGAGGACGTCCACAATGGCGAAGAAGAAGAGGAGGAGGAGGACAGCGACAACAATGAGAAGAAGAAGAAGACGAAGAAGAATGAGAAGAAGAAGAAGAAGAAGAAGAAGAAGAAGAAGAAGAAGAAGAAGAAGAAGAAGAAGAAGAAGAAGAAGAAGAAGAAGGAGGAGGGGGAGGAGGAGGAGGAGGAGGAGGACAACGACAACAACAGAGAAGAAGAACAAGAAGAAGAAGGACAAAAAGAAGAAGAAGAAGAAGAAGAAGAAGGGGAGCAGGAGGAGGGAATCATCTCACGAAGAAGAAGAGGAGGAGAAGAGGAGACGAGGAAGGACAGGGAGGAGGAGGAGGACGGGGAGGGGGGGGAGGGGAGGGGAACGGGTATGAATAGGGGGAGGAGGAGGGGAAGGAGGATTAGAGGATGATCTCACCTATCTAGAACCGACATTGTGTAGAGAAACTGTAGAAAGGCAATGCAGGCGAAGACGATCCCCCATGACCTGTGTCTTCCCCAGAAACAGAGGACGCTAATGACGGCTAAGTAGGTGGTTACTCCATGGAAGGACAGTTTCACAATATGTACCGGCCTCGTAAACAACAGCGTTAACCATGCCCATCCGAGAACTGCCCCGATCGCTCCCGCCAGTCCATGTTGGGGCCAGTAATTTTCTGTATTGCGATAATTGGGGTTTCCAGCCCTGAAGTTCTTTATTCCTACCGTGTAAAGGAAGTACCCCACAACTAGCAGATGGATCACAAACATGCCCAACCAGATGGGATCCCGACATGTTCGCGCTTCCACAGGCCTCGGAAAGGCCGCCGCGACCTCGGGTGCTGCCACAGGAACCACTCCCTACAAATGAAATGTCATGAAGACCACCGACCAATCCACGGATGACACGTGGCAAGAACACAAATCCAGAAGAAGAAGAAAAAAAAACAAACAGAAAATAACCAATTTTGAATATTTACTGCTGGTACAAGCCATACAGAAAAAAATATGGAAAAAAAAAAAAGAACAAAAATTTGAATATAGTAATATCTGCTCTTATCAGCACCCCTAGCAGCCGCTCGGGTTGTTTAAAAAATAAAATATATATATATATATCGTCAAATAGAATATATATATGCTCTTATCAGCACCCCCAGCAGCCGCTCGGGTTGTTTAATTAAAAAAAAAAAAAAAAAAAAAAAAAGAGTAACATACACATACACTCCCTGCTATCAATTAACTGGCATCATCAAGATTGGATTGGAGAACCAATAAAGAACCAATTTTGAAAATATCACGGTCGTCGCTCTCTGCAGTTAAGTGAGGGCATACTCACTTTAGGACTTATTTGAAATGAGCTTTGGACGTAATGACGGTACCCGGTACGTCCGCGCCTGCCCCTAATTGCGGTCAGATGCATCCAGGAAAGTCCTAGTGTGAGAGTATGCCCTCATTGTCGTCATTCATGGCGAACCAACAAACACGTGGGCAACACTAATCCAAAATTAAACAAACAAAAAAGAATAATCAAATTTGTTTTATTTTTCTTTTTGGTTTTGAAAAGGGCGACGGCCTTGATTTATTCATCATCTCAACTCATCTGCCCTAGGCGATCCAGAGTGATAACTTTACTCCTCTGGGTGCATCAGGATTCCAACTTCGGTATTTAAAAAAAAAAAAAAAAAAAGGGATTCCAACTTCGGTCTGATTATTATTATAAATTAATAAAATTATCAACAATTCATCGGTGTACCATTCAGCCACATGGGCTGTCTAAAAGAACTGATTTCGAATATGCTTACCTTGCCTGAAAGCTATTGTCACCACACTGATGAGAAACCAAAAAAAAAAAAATTAAAAAAAAAATCAAGATGTGACAAGAAATTTCCAAAAGCCAAACAACCCCCCCCCACCCCCCCCAAAAAAAAAGCGAATTTTGAATATAGTAAATATAAGCACACTCGCTGAATTTGATCGTCACCATCATGGATACTAAAACCCATGAAAACACCCACACCCCATGTGGGGGCTAAACGGTACGAAGTGTGAATTACAGACATAGGTTCCAATCCTGACGATAATCAGATGAATATACAGCAAGGGGCTAACCCAGTTTAAAATAATAAGAATATTAATAATGAAATATATATCGTCACAAACAGAACTGCCCGGTAAACCGTAGGCAGAGAGAGAGAAGAGGACAACAAACGAGGGGCTGTGACAAACTGTTTATATGCATGTGGGACTTGTCATCTAGGATCTGTTTTTGGTGCTGTTGCTTGTTGGCCCCTGTTTTGTTGTATTTGGCTGTTCCCTTCCTCTTTTCTTTGCCTCTTTGCCCTTTGGCTGTGTGCAAGTGGGTCGATATGACACACGGGGGTGGGGGCAGCCGCCGCTCAACCTACATCCACGTGGGCGGCCTTGTACGCAAGAGGAGGTTCTGAACAGGGGGAGTTGTAAGAAAGAAAGAAAAAAAAAAAACGAATTATTTTTTTCTTGTTTTCTTCTGTTTTTTTCGCCTTTGCGCTCTGATATTCATGTGACGATATATAACAACAAGTGGCAAGACAAATCCAAAAACAAATTGAAAAAACGAGCGAGTTTTGAACATAGAGACATTCCCTGAAATTGCTTGTCATACCAACTAGCCTAGCTCAGTTTCAAATAATAAGAGTATTAATAATAAAAACATAAAATATAAAACATCAACACGTGGCAAGACAAATCCAAAAAAAATTAAACAAACGAGCGAAGTGGGTAGAGAGATAGGAAAGTCGGACTTCAGAAGAAACTAGACAGGGACAGGATAGGGGGGAGACGATATCGTTCGATCCCAATGAGGTCGAGAGACAGATAGAAAGCAGAGAGAGAGAGAGAGAGAGAGAGAGAGAGAGAGAGAGAGAGAGAGAGAGAGAGAGAGAGAGAACAACGGATACTACTCCCATGGACAACCCCGGACACACAGAGGGAGAAGAGAGCCAGAAAAACGAGGACGACGACGGAGGAGGAGGGAGGGAGAACTTGAATGCTGAAGGGGAAGGGAACCAAATACTTGTATGCTGAGAGAAATGGGAGGGTGACCAATGCGGAGTCTAAGATGGGAGAAGGAGACAGACAGACAGACAGACACGGGCACAAAGTCTGCGATTGAGAGAGAGAGAGAGAGAGAGAGAGAGAGAGAGAGAGAGAGAGAGAGAGAGAGAATCTGAGAGCAGGAGAATTATACAGAGCATCGGAGAGAGAGAAAGAAGACGAGATAAACAGAGAGAAAATGAGAGAAAACGAGAGGGCATTCAGGTGGATCTGCAGTTCAGGCGGGAAGAAGCCAACCTGTGATGGAACGCAGAAACAGAGAGCGTGTGCGTGTGAGAGAAAGCAAGAGAGAGACAGACAGAGAGAGAACCTGACATCGAGAGAGTCATACACAGCATCAAACAGACATAAAGAGTGTGAGATAAACACAGCCACTGACAGAAAACAAGAGGGGATTCAAATGGACTAGCATTTTCCTCCGGGAACAGCCCACCCTATGATCGCACATAAAAACACGGAGAATGTCTGGACGTGTGTCTGTGTGTGCGTGTGCGTAAGAGAGAGAGAGAGAAAGAAAGAAAGAAAGGGGGAGAGAGAGAGAAAGAGAGACAGAGAGAGAGACACAGAGAGAGAGAGAGGAGGAGGAGAATCATCAAAGAGCATGGAAGAGAGAGATGAAGACGGTGAGATAAACAGAGGCAATGAGGGAAAACAAGGAACTTAGAAGGAGCAGAATTTTAGGCGGGAAGAAGACCAACCTGTGATGGTACATCCACGTCGACGGGACTGGAAGCTCCTTCACGGTTGGCTATGGCGGCATGCCGATCTCGTTGTGGAGGATGATGCACTTGTTGCTGCTGCGTAGTAGGCATAGCGGACCTCGACCAATTCAAAAAAATCGAAACCAACGGCTATATTTTGAAGAGAACACAAGATCCAATTTGCAGCCTACCAAGCTCTGATTTTTTGGACAAGCTCAGAGCTCAGAGTCCTCAGGCATAGCGGCGCACGTTGCTCGATTCAATTACCAGACGTAGATTCCCCAGTCTATCGTGTTCAGACTCTTCAGACACCCAGTCGCACGATATTGATTGCGGGACATACACGTGTCCTTCGCTGAACGTTATGAGGGAAGCGGATGATCTATGGCTTTTTTTCCAGGTCGATTTGATTAACTCAAATTAATGGCAGTTTGGAGTGTTAGATTGCCAACGAGGGTTAATTAGCAGATCTCGATTCCTCAATCTATCAATTCTATCGAGTTCATACATCGTAAGCGCACGATCAATTTCGTGATGTACACGCGTCTTCCCTCAGCTCCAACCTCTACCCAATCAGACGATCTGGATGCTCCACGTCATCATTCACTCAGCCAGCCAGACACCTGCAAGTTTCCCCCGATCTGCGCCACCTTCACCGGGGAGATCCGCGCGAACCCCGCCCCCTTTGCCTGCACCGCTTTCCTGTCTCGTGGCACGTTCTCACGATCCGCGCCGCGCCGCCTTCCCCCAGTCGGTCCGCGTGCAAACCCCACCGGTAGGCGCGTTATTAGCATCTATGAATTCTAAAATGTCGATCTTCCCCCGATCAGCGCGACCTTCCACCGGCAGGTCCAGCGCGCCAACATTCCCACTCCCCTCCCCCCCCCCGGCACCACTCGTCCGTTCCCCGCAATCCGCTCCGCCTTTCCCCGGTCAGTCCTGTGTGCGCCAGCTTCCCCTGATCAGCGCTACCTTCCCTGGGCAAATTCGCGCGCAAAACCTTCGACATTCCACCTCTGCCCCGGTTCTTTCATCCCGCAGCCAGTTCTCGATATCCGCGCCGCCTTTCCCCGGCTGCTCCGTGCCCGCCAGCTTGCCGCCAGCTTGCCGTGATTGGCGCCACCTTCCCCCAGCAGGTTCGCGGGCAAAACCTTCCCCCAGCAAGTCCTCGGGGAAAACCTTCCCCTTGACCACTCTCCTCCGCCCCGCAGCACGTGCCTGCTCTACCTCTTCCCCGGTTCTCTATCCTGCAGCCCGTTCAGGCGATCCGCGCCGCCTTCGCGCGGTCGCTCCGTTCGCACCAGCTTGCCGCGATCCGCGCGCAAAACCTTCCCCTCTAGACAACTCTCCTCCGCCCCGCAGCACGTGCCTTCTCTACCTCTCCCCCGGTTCTCTATCTCGCAGCCTCTTCAGGCGATCCTCGCCGTCTTCCCCGGTGAGTGCGTGCGCGCCAGCTTCCCCGACATCCACGTCACCTTCCCCCGGCAAGTTCGCGCGCAAAACCTTCCCCTTGACCACTCTCCTTCGCCCCGCAGCACGTGCCTGCTTCTCTCCTGCGCCCAGCGCAACGACACTAAGCTCCTTCAGATCCGTCGCACTCCATCTTACCTCCTTCTCCTCATCCCCTCTCCTCCTCTTCCCCCCCCCCCCCCGCCTCCTCCTCCTCCTCCTCCCCCCCCCCGCCCCCCCTCTCTATCCCTCCCCCTCCTCCTCCCTCCTCCTCGCCCCCCCTCTTCCTCCTTTCTCGCCTCCCTGTGTGCGTCTCTTTCCTCCACTAATTCTCCTGCGCGCCACAGAAACAACAAATGGAGAAACTCCTGCGCAACACAAAAAAGAAAATGGGGAAACTCCTGCGCGCCAAGTTCACTCGCTCTTCCCTCTCCTTGCCATCCGTAGACCATACTCACCCCAGCACAATCTTAAATGCATCTGACCATAAAATTACGGCCCTACTTGCACGTATCTGACCGCGAGTGCGTCCCAAAACAAGTAAAAAAGTCGTAGTGTGAGTATGCCCTTAGCGTGCAACGACGCCCTCTCTGCTTCCTTGATATTAAGCCCACAACAATTACCCCTCGCTTCTCCCTCTCCTTCCTGCTCCTCCTCCGTTTACCGAAGCAATCCGCCTGCTCTGTCATCCAAGACAACCAACTAATACGTCAACCTGGCTCTCGCCCGCGATCACCTCTCCTCTTCCATCGACCCCCTTTTCACCCTTTCTTTCTTCTCACAAATACATAGAAATGCAAATTGTTTCCCAAAAATAAAAATAAAAAAGAAATGCAAATTGCCTAGAAATGTATCTTGCCACATACACACACATGCCTTTTTTTTTTTTTTTTTTTTTTTTAACACATGCCTTCTATACTGTATACATGTACATATATCGTCATAACGTTCCGGTGAACCGCTGGCAGAGAGGGAGAAGAGGACAGTGAAGTCGGAGATTCACCCACTCATCAGGCATGTATACGTGTTTAATATATATATATATCGTATAACGGGCAGCTCTGTTTGACGATATATATGTTCAGAGAGAAGAGTATCTTATGTCTATTTATAGTCTGTACGTATAGACAGAGAGAGAGAGAGAGAGAAAGAGAGAGAGAGAGAGAGAGGTGGTTGCCCGATGCTTGTTTCCGTTAATTCCGAGGATCGTCCCCACCGTTCTAAACTTGCGCGACTCCACAATCTCTCAGCAACCGTGGATGACAGTAATCCAAGGCCCTCGTCTAAAAGAACTAATTCACTGTAACATCGTTGTGTAATGTCGACAGTGTAAACTGCTGGGTCGATCGGGCACCGCCGCTCTACTCACCAAATGCGGAAAAGACGAAAAATGGCGGTGCATCTTTCCATGTTCGAGCGAAAGATTCATTCTCATTTTGTACATTTGATGAGCAGTGCGGCAAGGCCCATCGTCAGGGCACACGAATGCATCAGCGGCGAAAAAGGAGGAAAAGACCAACGGCAAGACTGCCGCGGTGCCGTGCTCCCGCTCTCCCCTTTCGACTGAACATGGAGGAGTATCAACAAACCGCCAAAATGAAAGAACCGATGGCGCGCTGCAAAAGCCGATGGCGCGCTGTAACATCATTGGTGCTTTCGACGCTGGCCGGCGTCACCCTGCCGAAATCGACTTGGCCTGGCGTGCGCTTGGCCGCTTGAGGCCTCGCCGCACTACTCACCAAATGCACAAAATCAGAACGAATCCTCTGCTAGAACATGGAAAGATGCGCTGCCATCATTTTTGTCTTTTGTGCATTTGGTGAGTAGTGCAACTAGGCCCTTGGTGTGGCTTCGTTTCCTTTTTTTTCCCTGTTTTTCTTTTCCACTTCGAAGCTTGTCTTCGTTTCTTGGCGGGACGGTGGCCCATACGCCCAGATGACGCGTCCGCTGATGTTCATATCCGGTTTCGATTGTTCTTTCCCAGACTCGTCCCTGACAACGCTCATTCGCTGTCCCGTTCAGGGTTTTTTTCTTTTTTCCTTTTTTTTTCTCCCTATATTCTTCTCTCAACTTCTGTTTTCGCCTTTCACTACCTACTCGTAAGGCTATCCAGAGGGGACCCCTGCAAGCATAGTTTCCTCTCACTGTGAAGGGGAGATTTCATGTTGCCCCTTGCCCCTAATGTTTAGGGTATAGGGTTGGGGCCGCCAGTGGGGGTCTGGCTAACACAAAGACCGAGACCTGCCAGTAGCAGCGCCTCCCTTTCTCATCGTCCCCCACCCCTCATCGAGCAGCAGCAGTGGCTATGGCCAACACTCTCCCACACACCACACACAACCCACTCGGGCTCGCACTCACACCCATGTTGGTCATAGACTCCACTTATACAGATCAGGGGTATCCAGAGGACTATCACAGTCCGTTGACACGAAGTGCGCCATTGACTTACCGTGAGGGCATGGGTGCGCAGCCCGTAGTTCGTTTGTTTATGTGGTTCGGGAAGGGTAAGGTAGTGATTATGCTATACATATGTTTTGTCATGTTCGCTATATATAACTCGAAGAGAGTGCGTGTGCGGTCCCGGTTGGTGCTTTATTGACGATGTTCATGGGACGTTGGACCCAGTTTCCAGCAGGTGGCGCTCCCCATCGATAGACAGGAGAATGTATGTGTGTGTGTATGTGAGTGTGTGTGTGTGTGTGACGAACCACTTCACGACCCCGGACCATCCTTCGCACCCTTTCTTTTGCTTGTATCATACCAAACCCAGGAAAACCCCGTTTTGATTTCTTGATTTCGGGTGCCGCATTTTCCTTTTTAAGAGCTTTTTCGACTGCTGAGTTCTGTTTTTCTTTTCGCAAAGTCGGGAAATACATGGGAATTTACGTGCGCCTTAGCGAGCGCACTGGGAATTAGGCTCGGTAATTGGGAATTTCGGGATAAGCGGAACTTTGATGTGTCCTTTTTGGGTGTGTGAATGTTCTTGGGCGCGTCGGGGAAAACTCTCGGAATTTTGCGTGAATACGAATAGGTGTAGGATTTTATTTTCCCGCGTCGCTTTTTCGCGCGCGGATATGGTGATTTCAATTTTGAATTAGGATAAAAGCAAGTTGTAATTGTTTCGGTGCCTTTTTCCTTTTTTTGTTGACAGCACCGTGCATGCAAAAGCTTCCTCCTCTCTGTCCCCCGCATTGCTCCCTCCCGCGCCTCCCTCCCCTTCTCCCTCCTTTTTCTCTCTCCCCGTAACTGTTTTCCTTCTCCCTCTCTCTCTCCCGCCTTGCTTTCGCGCACCCATTTCCCTTTCTTGATCATCTGAACCTTGGACCCGTCTTGCGCCACCTCTCGCGCCTTTTCTCTTTTCACCCTCTAAGTCTGGCGTACGACCCCCGGTCGATCCCCCGATAACTCCCGCTCGCCAATCAGGTGCGTCGATCGATAGGACCTTCCTATCGCGCGACGAATCTGATTGGTTGAACCTTGAGTTCCGAGGGATCAGCATGGCGTCCGTAGAGCACTCTTCTCAAAGTCTTCTCCTCTTGCTTCTCCTCTTACACCTCAACTTTCCTATCGCCTTCTCCCCCTCCTATCTCCCCTGTCGCAACTATAAAACCCGCAAGCGCATCCGCAAAACTCTCTTACGTTCTCGACTCTCAAACCAGCTTCCGGGAAGCAGTGGCTAGGCAGAGTGTTTGAAGAGAGTCGGAAAGTCCTGTCGGGCTGACGATAGATTGGCCGGTTGCGCGCTGGATTGCCACGACGGACTGTGGTATCTGGGTGAACCGTGTCGAGTTTACAACAGCGGGGTGACGATCGCAGTGGTGGGAGTTAGCACGCGACGGCCGGGATCGTCGTTGCGGGTATGAGGATCGATGTTGAGTTGATTGGCCCGGGGCCATATTGGAATTAACGACGAATGCGCCTTTGTTGCAGATTGTTATCTTTGGCGTGAGTGTACGGCGGTGATGCCGAACTTTTCTCTTTCTGGATCTTGTCATCTTCTATTTTGGACTTTCTTTCCCTCGACTCTCTCTCTCTCTCTCTCTCTCTCTCTCTCTCTCTCTCTCTCTCTCTCTCTCTCTCTCTCTTTTTGAATGATGATGCGTCTGAATGATTGTCCCTCTCTTGAGTAGGAATGAGTTGGCATCCTGCTTTTGTGTGAAAGAACTTCTTCCGGAACTCTTCCATTAGTTTCCTGGGTAATCCTCCTACGCAAGGACCCAGTCTACTTGTCTTGTGAACGGTGGATGCGTGTGTATTGTGCAATGCGATCCATCTTTTCCTGTGCATGTCTCATTTTCGCACCTTCCACAATGAATGCATGTATAGAGATGCGTGACTTTTTCGATTTGATTAGACAAGTGTCGTCGGGATTTTGTTCGAGAATGCAAGAGTGTTTAGATTTGTAGCCCTGTTTGCACTGCGCATGCCATCTGCCTTATGATGCAC